ATATGTTTTGAAATTCATAATATTTAATATATATATTATAATATATTTATAACATAATACATACACATAAATAATAATTTTTACAGTAGAATCTAACTCTTTTTCTCTTAATATATATAGTGAAACTATTAAATTATAATTTCATGACGTCAAACTAAGATACAAATATAAGAACAAAAAATGATTAAAACCTCAACGAAATTGATCGCGTATATTTGACAACATTTAATTATTGTATATTGTCAAATGTATTTGACAACATACAATATAAGCAAATACAAATATATAAATTACAAATAAGATCCAGGCGAGGGGTTAGGTCGTGAATAATCTATTCCACTTAATCAAAATTAACGAAAAATGAACGCTTCGATATTTAAGATCATTTCCAGCATTATTTAAGGGATATGATCAATGCGCTAAAATTTTGGTTAATAATGCTAACGACGATCGAAATTTTCAGTAGTAGCATTAAATGAAACAGATTATTTACGAAGTAAATATTAGTATTTATTTATATAAAAATGTAAGAGATAAGTAAACGTGTGAACAATTAGTATATTCCGATTATATTAACATATATTTAAACAAAAACAAAAAAATGGATGAAAGAGTATTGCAAAAAATTATAAAAGAAAAAATAGAAAACAAAATATAAATTTACCAATGTAATATAAATTTGCCAATTATAATATAAGGCAAAATAAAAAAAATTTGGTATTTATTTTTCTTAGATAAGGCAGAAAATAAGAATATAGATAGATAATAAATTAAGGTCTATTATGTAATAAATATTAAAAGATATTGATACATGTAAGACGAAGCAAGTTAATACAGTAGAAAAGAGATAGTAAGGTAGAGAAACGAAATAGAAATTTTATTGTTTTATAAGAAAAGAGAATAAAAGTTTAAGAACAAAAAAAAGAAATCTAAGTTGTTTATATTAATCAATAAAAGAAGATCATCAATCAGATAAAAAAAAGTAATTTGGCAAAGGTTTTACACACATATATAATATATTACTCACCGCATATTTAAATATCGGTAGACAACTTTCCAAAACACTTCCTTAGTAACCAAATATTGCATCATGTACAATATTAAAGGTGCTACAATTCATATGTAAGATTAACTTATGTACATGGTTTAAATAGACAAATAATTACAATACAAATGTATATAAATTACAATGTCTATAAATTTATGATTTAGTAGTAATATTATTTCTATATTATTAATTTTGGTAATTATTCAGAATCACGGCTCCACCTGCAAATGGGCTGCAAATTTTTTTGATAACTTTTTATACTTAGAGAATAATGTAAATAACAATTTTTAATCGGGGGAGGCTCAAAAAAAAAGTAATAGACCAAAAAGCGGAAAAAACGGGGTAATTATTTCGAATAAAGCCTTTTCTGAATTTTGACAAATATGATCGGATCTCTCGGTAAAACTCTTTGTTGTGACAATCATATTTGTCAAAATTCAGAAAACACCTTATTCGAAATAATTACCCTTTTTTGGTCTATAACTTTTTTTGGGGACCTCTCCCAACTAAAAATTGTTATTTATATTTCTTTCTAAACATTAAAAGTCCGTAAAAAAATGTGCAGCCCATTTGCAGGTGGAGCCGTGATTCTGAATAATTACCTTAATTTTTTCTATTTTCTTATAACTTCTACATTACATAATTTATAAACAATTGTTTAATTATATTTACTGACGTTTACCTTTAATGTAACGGGAATAAGAGGAAAGTGAATTAATTTCAGAAAGATTGCTGGCTTCTGATATAAGAGGCTGCGTAAGATTATAATCATCCAACTGGAGAGATTCATATTGAGTCTGAACTATGAATAAATCCAATATCTTCGAACTTTTGTAATGCTAAAAAGAAAAGTTTTTAATATTTTAATGATTAAGTAAATATTTATCTAGTCAAAGGAAATGTACACATTAATAAGATACATTAATACACCTTGATCTATTACCGAAATTATAATATAGAAATGTGTTATTTTTAAATCAAGTTTCTATTTTTACTGCAAAATTTATAACGATTTAATAGTGCCGAACAATCAGCGCATAGTAGTTCCTTAAGATGTGAAAGGGTTTATAACAAGCAGCTTGTGCATTTTTAATATTATAAATATATAGTTCAAGAACTTTATATTGTTATGATATCTAGCATTTCATTTAATTGCGTAAATTTAGCATTAAAAATATACATTAAGAATACATAATAACCTCGAGAGCATTAACGGCATTCACAACATCTATTCCGAAAAATGTTGTAAGACCATCGCTTAACCATAAATCAGACCCCCAAGGTAGATTAATTAAATTACCGAACCATTGATATGTTATTCCACGCGCTATCAATTGTGCCACTTCAATTTTATGCGCAACAGAATGTAGATTTTCATTGTAAATAACACTTGTTTCTCTAAAAAAACATAAGAATCAAATTTATAAAACTTAAACAATAAACATAAAATTGCATATAAAGAATGTTTTTTCTAATTGCAGCACTTAGAATATCTCCGCTATTTTTAGAGATACGAAAATATTGATCTTGAAATTTCCGACGCGCCTCCTTTAAAAAATTATTATTAGCATATTATGGTCCTCTTGATACAGTGCTACTTTCATAATCACAATATTTTAGTATTTCTAAAAATAGTGGACATATTCTTGTAAATGCTATCGTTAGAGGCAACATCCTACATAATAATAATCTTAATGTTTCTCCTGAAAAGCGTAAAAAAGCAACGTTTTCTGAACTTAATAAATGATAAATGACGACGTAAGAGTTATTATAGAAACTAATTATGCAATGTGATGTACGATATATGTTTTATACATATATATATATTCTATTTAGAATTGCATATAGTTTCATGTCAAAATATAAAATAATTTCTCAGTAAATAACCATATACTAAATTAAAAATATGTGTTGGTATACGTATTTCTAATTTTGATTAAAAAAATTGTATTTCGATAGATAATATTTGCTTCCAATTTTTCTATTACCTTATTGCGACGAAACCGAAGTTCATATTAATATCATTTCGAAAACCTGGGATTGCGACAAGTTGCAGTTTCGGAACCTTCACTTTCTTCAGAAGTTTAAACCATTCAAATTTCAACTTCATTATGATTTTGTTTGAAACTCTTTCCGCAAATTGTACATGCTCTGAGTCTGGATTGCGCCAGAAGTAATCCTTATCTATGCCATTATTGGGATAGAAATGCATCGATGAAATCATAACCATCACGAGATGAGCAGATATAGAAGGAGTGGTGTCGAAGTATGTCCATTGCATACATATTTCTGTATTATTTAATTTATGTTTGTATATTTTCTCTTGTCGTATCGGCATATTTGAGAAAACTGAATAATTGCAGTGATGCTTTATGGAAACGTCGAAAGTGGCTCTTATTGGCTTGTCCCAATATGGGAACAATCGTTGGGCCTCAATCGTCGGGAAATTTGTTTCGTTCCATCTACGATATTTTAAAGTTATTAATTCGAATGACTATCAATGTTTAATTATTTATCGATATAGAATCATCTAACATATATATCAATGATATGTTAAAAAGTATTATACCATATATATACTGTTTTAATGACTGTTTTAATGAGGTAATAGAACAAACATGTCTTGTAAAAAGCAGTAATAAATAACATTTAATAACACTGTGCTTTTAATATATTAACATTTACTTACTTTTCATTTCCTGATTTTTTTATATATGTAGTCTTTAAGATAATATTATCGTCTTCTGTGGTATTAATTGCATTAAGAAATCTTATTTTTAATGTATAATTTTTAGGTAATAACTCATTTTCGAAATAAAGAACACAAATTTGCGTTACATTATCATATTCGATTTTTTTCGTTACATGATATTTTTCTTCTTCTGGTTTAAAATTAATAACGTCTTTTTCCATCAATTCTGTTGATAAATGGCGAATTGAATTCGATGAATTTAAACTTATTTTTATAGTTGGATGAAAAATATGAATAGTGACATTGATTTCGCCATAGAAGACAACTCTGCCACTTGCTTGATGCTCTTTTATATATGTATTAAAGGTTTGATATAAAAAGGTCATATATTCGTCATAGATTTTATCGTCTTCTTTGAAATATGGTACTAATATGACGTTGTAATGCATTGGTATTACATCCAAAAAGGTATCATATGTAATCGATGTATCGATGATATCTTCTGTATTTTTATCGGCAGAAAGTGCTGTCGCGATGATAAATATGAGACCGCCATAAAGTAACAGTCTTAGAAACGCCATATCACTTATTTAGGTACCTAAAATAACTTTCTTTGTTGAAAAAGAAACAAATATAAATTCAAGTTGAGACAATGAAATTTACAGCAGACAAATCTAGAAAATATTAACTATCTCCGAAGAGATAATTAGTTTCCTTGAGTAACAACAAATTTCATCCGTATTCAATATTTCTATGATAGATCGACCTATGTTTATCAACATGTTATTTTCAAAATTTGTTGTTTCATTTTTTAGATGGTTATGTCCTCAGTGAATTAGTGACACAAAACTATCTAACGGAAAATTAATTTTTTTTCAACTTTTTTGATATTTGTATGTTTTCAGATATATACATATAGGGAACTGATCGAACACGATTTGATTATTTTACTTATATGTGTCATATATCATATTTATTTCTTTTTAAATCGAGAAAATAGACATTTATTGTTTGTTCGTTATACGTTTGAGTAATCGAGTTTAAAGAAATCTTGCACATAAATTGACTTTACCAAATAAGTAAATATTTATCTAGTCAAAGGAAATGTACACATTAATAAGATACATTAATACACCTTGATCTATTACCGAAATTATAATATAGAAATGTGTTATTTTTAAATCAAGTTTCTATTTTTACTGCAAAATTTATAACAATTTAATAGTGCCGAACAATCAGCGCATAGTGGTTCCTTAAGATGTGAAAGGGTTTATAACAAGCAGCTTGTACATTTTTAATATTATAAATATATAGTTCGAGAACTTTATATTGTTATGATATCTAGCATTTCATTTAATTGCGTAAATTTAGCATTAAAAATATACATTAAGAATACATAATAACCTCGAGAGCATTAACGGCATTCACAACATCTATTCCGAAAAATGTTGTAAGACCATCGCTTAACCATAAATCAGACCCCCAAGGTAGATTAATTAAATTACCGAACCATTGATATGTTATTCCACGCGCTATCAATTGTGCCACTTCAATTTTATGCGCAACAGAATGTAGATTTTCATTGTAAATAACACTTGTTTCTCTAAAAAAACATAAGAATCAAATTTATAAAACTTAAACAATAAACATAAAATTGCATATAAAGAATGTTTTTTCTAATTGCAGCACTTAGAATATCTCCGCTATTTTTAGAGATACGAAAATATTGATCTTGAAATTTCCGACGCGCCTCCTTTAAAAAATTATTATTAGCATATTATGGTCCTCTTGATACAGTGCTACTTTCATAATCACAATATTTTAGTATTTCTAAAAATAGTGGACATATTCTAAGTGCTATCGTTAGAGGCAACATCCTACATAATAATAATCTTAATGTTTCTCCTGAAAAGCGTAAAAAAGCAACGTTTTCTGAACTTAATAAATGATAAATGACGACGTAAGAGTTATTATAGAAACTAATTATGCAATGTGATGTACGATATATGTTTTATACATATATATATATTCTATTTAGAATTGCATATAGTTTCATGTCAAAATATAAAATAATTTCTCAGTAAATAACCATATACTAAATTAAAAATATGTGTTGGTATACGTATTTCTAATTTTGATTAAAAAAATTGTATTTCGATAGATAATATTTGCTTCCAATTTTTCTATTACCTTATTGCGACGAAACCGAAGTTCATATTAATATCATTTCGAAAACCTGGGATTGCGACAAGTTGCAGTTTCGGAACCTTCACTTTCTTCAGAAGTTTAAACCATTCAAATTTCAACTTCATTATGATTTTGTTTGAAACTCTTTCCGCAAATTGTACATGCTCTGAGTCTGGATTGCGCCAGAAGTAATCCTTATCTATGCCATTATTGGGATAGAAATGCATCGATGAAATCATAACCATCACGAGATGAGCAGATATAGAAGGAGTGGTGTCGAAGTATGTCCATTGCATACATATTTCTGTATTATTTAATTTATGTTTGTATATTTTCTCTTGTCGTATCGGCATATTTGAGAAAACTGAATAATTGCAGTGATGCTTTATGGAAACGTCGAAAGTGGCTCTTATTGGCTTGTCCCAATATGGGAACAATCGTTGGGCCTCAATCGTCGGGAAATTTGTTTCGTTCCATCTACGATATTTTAAAGTTATTAATTCGAATGACTATCAATGTTTAATTATTTATCGATATAGAATCATCTAACATATATATCAATGATATGTTAAAAAGTATTATACCATATATATATACTGTTTTAATGACTGAGGTAATATAACAAACATGTCTTGTAAAAAGCAGTAATAAATAACATTTAATAACACTGTGCTTTTAATATATTAACATTTACTTACTTTTCATTTCCTGAATTCTTTATATATGTAGTTTTTAAGATAATATTATCGTCTTCTGAGGTATTAATTGCATTAAGAAATATCATATTCAATATGTAATTTTTAGGTAATAACTTATTTTTGAAATGAAGAACACAAGTTTGCGTTACATTATCATATTCGATTTTTTTTGGTATATGAGAAAAATATTCTTCTGGCTTAAGATTAATAACGTCTTTTTCCATCAATCCTATTGCTAAATGGCGAATTGAATTCGATGAATTTAAACTTATTTTTATAGTTGGATGAAAAATATGAATAGTGACATTGATTTCGCCATAGAAGACAACTCCGCCGCTTGCTTGATGCTCTTTTATATATGTATTAAGAGTTAGATATAAATAGGCTAGATATTCATCATAGATTTCATCATCTTCTTTGAAATATGGTACTAATATGACGTTGTAATGCATTGGTATTACATTCAAAAAGTTATCATATGTAATCGATGTATCGATGATATCTTCTGTATTTTCATCGGCAGAAAGTGCTGTCGCGATGATAAATATGAGACCGCCATAAAGTAACAGTCTTAAAAACGCCATATCACTTATTTAAGCACCTACAATAACTTTCTTTGTTGAAAAAAAAAAATATAAGATCAAATTTAGACAATGAAATTTACAGCAGACAAATTTAGAAAATATTAACTCTCGAGAGAGATAATTAGTTTCTTTGAGTAACAACAAATTTCATCCGTATTCAATATTTCTATGATAGATCGACCTATGTTTATCAACATGTTATTTTCAAAATTTGTTGCTTCATTTTTTAGATAGGTATGTCCTCAGTGAATTAGTAACACAGAACTATCTAACGCAAAATTAATTTTTTTTCAACTTTTTTTGATATTTGTATGTTTTCAGATATATACATATAGCGAACTGATCGAACACGATTTGATTATTCTACTTATATGTGTCATATCATATATATTTTTTTTTAAATCGAAAAAATAGACATTTATTGTTTGTTCGTTATTCGTTTGAGTAATCGAGTTTAAAGAAATCTTGCACATAAATTGACTTTACCAAAAAATATATAGACTAATTTAAATGCGTGAATGGTAATAAATATTGTAATTTCTAACATTGCAATATATTATCCAATTTTCAATTATCTATTTAAAAATGTGTAAATTAAATATGAATTTAAATATTAAAAAGCTTTTTGCTTAATTTTAAATTTTTGACTCCAAGGACATTTTGCAACATTATTATAATAAATAAAATTAAATTTTTTGTTAAATATATAAAATTTAGAAATTTAGAAAAACATGTAATTCTATTCCTAAATAGGAAATGTATAAAAATTATACAAATGAAATAAAGGATTCCTAATGAAATGTCGGCAATTTTGGAAAAAAGATAATTTAAAATTGTATGATAATATTATATAAGAATATTTTCAAAATATTGTTGCACTAGTAAATCGTCATCGATTTCTGAAGTGACATTTTTGCATTTCTAATATTAATATCTTGGAGCCGTGTCAGGTGAAATGAGACAAAGTGAAAAATAATGAAAGGATTCAGATGAAACAGAATGTCATTTTGATCTAAGAATAGTTTAAAATATGAAAAGAGAAATTATCGACTAATTAAAGAGTATAATAATATTCAAAAAATATAATGGGAGCAATTAATTGCAAGACTCTTACAAACAAACTAAAACAGTTTTATTATTGAATCATTAATTATACACACACAATGAATTATTTTATTTATTACAGTATGCTAGTTTTCAGTTCTTGATCCGCGTATTTAATGTCGTTTATAAAGCCTTAAATTAATGTTTATGAATAAGTAGAACTATCTATGCAAAAATATTCTGAAAGTTGATGGAGTTTTCAATTTTTTGTTACATATAATTCATATGTCGCTCAGCTTTTTGTAATTTTTTATATATACTATGTATTTTTTGTCTATACCATGCATCAAATGGTCGCGCAGAGAATTTGCAATGGAAGTTATGCAATACAGATGATTTTACGAAAATTACCGTATCAATGTATACAATTTTGCTAGAAATATGTTTTGCGGATTTTTATAGTTTTATTTTCGAATTTTCATTCTTATTTCCCTCTAACATCACGTTGCACTATACAATAAATACTATGCGCATCAATAAGTCGTGATTATTTATCGTTGTGATAATTAAATTGTGATCATTAAATTGTAAATGTGACTCAGTTTTAATATATTGCACCGCACTTTTTTCATAGTAAATATAATCAAGATAAATTAATATTTTTATGTAAAAATTGATAATTTTGTATTCAATCTCTTAAAGTTGATATATATATACTTCCAATAAAAAGTATTTTATTTATTAAAATTGCAATAAATATATTATTTGAAGATATTTTAAAGTTCATGTTTTATTAAGCTTTAAAAAATGCATAATTAATAAATATTAATGAAAATTAATCAATATTAAATGGATAGCATTGTAACAATGTTATTGTTACATATAGGTAAAATTATATTTTTATAATTCTACGTTCTGTTATTAAGGCAATTAGAACATATTTTTTTGTGAAGCCCTTTTTAAAAAAAAGTATATTTATGTTACAACTCCTAACATAAATAAACTGTGTATTGAAAACAGTAAAAGCAAAAAAAAAACACATTTTATAATATTATCGAAGAGAGAGATTTTATTTTATTATTTTTATTACAATCATTTAAATAATTCAATAAAAATGAAAAACAGTGTCATATAATTTTTTATAAATGAATGAATATAAATGTATAACATATTTCAAGTGACTAATAATATATTAAATATATAATGATAAATGTTATATTATATATGTAACAATTACTTGTTTTTTTGTAAGATATTGACCTACAAAGATTTAATGCCTTATAAAAAGGCAGCACTTTTCGTGTTTTGAAAAAAATTGATTTTCTAAGAAAGCTCGCAACATATATATTATATATGTTATTAATATGTAAATAAGTTTAACAATAAGAAGTTAATAATTGGATTTATAAAAGAATTTATAAAATTTACCTTGTTAAGTTGGTTCTTGGAATATATATGGTTAATAATAATGATAAATGCTGCAAAGTCACTGATGTCTCTTTAGAAACAAAATAGCAAATGTATGTTTAGTTTACGTAATAAACTTTTGTTATTATGAGTAACATGCGCTTATCACAAAAAAAATTCACCTCGGTTTTAATTTTTCAAAATTTGTTAATATATTCGTAAGCACAGTATCGTTTTTCGCATGCTTTGAAATAATAAAAAGAAAACTATTAATACAATAATTGACTTGTATTCCGACATATGTTCCATCATTCTGCGGTGTTATTAATTTTAAATATTCATTGATGTTGTTTTCAGAACAAGCTAAGAATTCTAAAAATCTTTTATCATGGTTTTGCATCAATCCTATATTTTTCATTGTGTGCCAAGTATCAACATCTGCTAACATCGAACCTTTACAGTATATCCATTCTTCCCACCACGGCAGAAGTCTATAATATCTGAAAAGAATGTTTTAAATATTATGTATATAAATATTTTCTCATCATATTTTGTATTTTAATTAAATATCTTGTTAAATATTGCGGAAGATGTAAAAAAAAAATGTAGAAAAACAGTAACGTTAAGAAAAATTACTTATTTTCTTTCAGCTTTTTAATATGCTTTAACAATTTTCTATAAGCTCTTTTCTGACAAAAGTTGTTGCCGAGAATACATGCCCATTTAATGGCTTCTTGTCTTAAACATTTAGTAAATTCGTTCTCCTCAGAGTTTTCTTTGTATTTTATATTCAAAAGAAGATCTCTTAATATGCAGCTTGTTGTAAATTAAACATCACCCAACCATCTTCTATTATATCAACTTCTTTGCTAAACGATGGTGATATAAGTATTAATCTCTCATCATAAAGCGGAGAAGCAAAATTCATAAAATTAAGATTACTCTGCGTAGTAAATGTTACAGGTATCCATTGCTCGTCTTTCACAAAAAGATCGTGATTTTCTACTGTTATATTCATTTTATTTGCAGAATAATTTCGCATTATTTTCAATATAGGATAATTCACAAATTTTGTCCAAACATTTATTGGATGTGTTAAAGGAAGTGTGGGTACCTCGAGATTTAAGTCATTTAATTCATTTACAGTATCTTGCATAACAGTCCAGAAATCAGCAGTCGAATTAAATTCACTGTAATTGTAAATTTTGGTATTATTGACATAATCAAAACTATATTAAAATTGTAAGTTATCTAAAAATATCAAAGTATTATTTATGTTTTATATATATATATA